TAAAATTACAAAGTTCTATCAGCTCTGTAGGCCTACCTAGTGTTGAGAAATATGACTTCAAAGAGTTTGAGCTTCACAACATGTCAAGCTTTTTCGTATGCAATTCTTTGAATTCCTCGATAGCGATTCCGAATTATCTTACGATTTTCATGGAGCAGATAGGACATTTGGTTTCTGTTCTGACCTCATGATGTTAGTAACTCAAAACTGCCAAAAATGTCAGATAGAACTTTGTAATTCTGAGGGATTAATCCTTAATCTATACTTTGAGATAGAACCCTAACTGGTCAACAATACGTTGACAGTTTGCATGTGTGTTATAAACCCTTACAAGTCGTAAGCCGTTTTGCCTGCTTTGTTGCAGTGAAACTAGTTCTAAATGTATGTAAATGTCGTTGGTGTTTTTAACATGAAAGTTTGGTTTTAGAAAGTGTTTTACGGCACTGCCAACACAATAAGGTCTTATAAGTGCCGAAAGCTAGAGGTGTTACAAGAGAGTAACAAACACAAGAAAGAAGGAGGGGAGATAAAGACGACAGACGTTTGATAGGAAAGAAGCAGCAAACCACGCCAGAGCACCCACCAACCACCCACCAACATGGACAAATAGGTTCCCCCAGCCACAAACATGTAGATCTAAAATACACTTCAACTTCTAGGGACAAAAAATAAATAAAACTTTGGGGTCACAACTAGCCTATCTATGTCTCGCTGGTGCCGCAACAGGAAATGTCTTGCAGAGACAGGAAGCATGGGTCGTTGGCGGGTGCTCTGGTGTGTGTGGTTTGCTCCTTCTTTCCTACTATCAGACATCCATCGTTCTTATTTTCTCCTCCTCATTAAAAAAAATTTTTTTTGGGTCTTTGTTACTCTCTTGTAACATCTCTAATTTTGGGCAGTTATATGACCTTATTGTGTTGCAAGTGCCGTAAAACTCTTACGAAAAACAGGCCAGGAAACTACGCGCTGTGATCGTGATCGTGATGCGCGAAGCTGTGGAAAGCTGTATATTTCCTTTCCTAGGGATCTTTTGTTGCACGATAGATCGAATATAGACCATTCAACCTGGAGAATTAAGAAATCGAACCTGTTATCTTTAAACTGAGATCCTACCGCTTAG